CCTGTTTAATAAATGGTGTTGGGAAAACTGGCTAGCCATGTGCAGAAAGCAGAAACTGGACCCCTTCCTGACACCTTACACTAAAATTAACTCCAGTTGAATTAAAGACTTAAACATAAGGCCTAAAACCATAAAAACCCTAGAAGAAAACCTAGGCAAAACCATTCAGAACATAGGCATAGGCAAGGACTTCATGACTAAAACACTAAAAGCAATGGCAACAAAATCCAAAACAGACAAATGGGATCTAATTAAACTTCAGAGCTTCTGCACAGCAATAGAAACAATCATTAGAGTGAACCAGCAACCACCATAATGGGAAAAAATTTTTGCAGTCTACCCACCTGACAAAGGACTTATATCCAGAATCTACAAAGAACTAAAACAGATTTACAAGAAAACAAACAAACAAACCCATTCAAAAGTGGCAAAGGACATGAACAGACACTTTTCAAAAAAAGACATGTATGAGGCCAACAAACATATGAGAAAATGCTCATTATCACTGTTCATTAGAGAAATGCAAATCAAAACTACATTTCATGCCAGTTAGAATGGCAATCATTAAAAAATCTGGAGGCAACAGATGCTGGAGAGGATGTGGAAAAATAGGAACACTTTTACACTGTTGGTGGGAATGTAAATTAGTTCAACCATTGTGGAAGACAGTGTGGTGATTCCTCAAGGACCTAGAAATAGAAACTCCGTTTGACCCAACAATCACATTACTGGGTATATATCCAAAGGATTATAAATCATTATAAGGACACATGCCCATGTATGTTCACTGCGGCACTGTTTACAATAGCAAAGACTTGAAACTAACCCAAATGCCCATCAATGATAGACTGGACAGGGAAAATGTGGCACATATACACCATGGAAAACTATGCAGCCATAAAAAAAAGATGAGTTCATGCCCTACATTTGTAGGGACATGCATGAACCTGTAAGTCATCATTCTCAGCAAACTGACACAAGAACAGAAAATCAAACACTGCATGTTCTCACTCACAGGCAGATATTGAACAATGAGAACACATGGATACAGGGAAGGGAACATCACACACTGAGGTCTGTTAGTGGATACTAGAGGAGGGACAGCGGGGGGTGGGGAGTTGGGGAGGGATAACATGGGGAGAAATGCTAGATATAGGTGATGGGGATGGAGGCAGCAAACCACATTGCCATGTATGTACCTACCCAACACTCCTGCATGTTTTTCACATGTATCCCAGAACCTAAAGTGCAATAAAGTATACATTTAAGAAAAGAAGAGCAAATAATAATAATAATAAATTAAAAAATAAAGATCTTTCACAATCAAAAAAAAAGAAAATTAATGCAGGAACAAAAAAACAAATATCACATTTTCTCACTTATAAGTGGGAATTAAATGATGATAACTGATGGACACAAAAAAAGGAGCAACATACATTGGGGCCTATTTGATGGTGAAGGGCAAGAGGAAGAAGAACAGAAAAAATAACTTTGGGTTCTAGGCTTAGTACCTGGGTAATGAAATATTCTGTAAACAAACCCTTGTTACAGGAGTTTATGTATACAACAAACCTGAGCATGTACCCCCAACCTAAATAAAAGTTAAAAAAAATAAAAATAATAAAAAGCAAAATGTGGTTCAAAAAGAAGAGGTCATAGAGACTGAAGAAAGATGTTCATTGGCAATTGGTTAATTTGCTCATCATCCACTGCTTATGCCAGTTCCTGTATTAGGGGCTAAAGGACACAGACAAACTGTACTTGCTGTGCCAGGGGCTGACATTCTTCTGAGTTGGATGAGTAGGAGATGCAGAACAAGATATACGTGAGGAGGATTTCACAGGAAAGGTGACATCTAAATTAAGTCTCAGAAAATAAGTGGATCCCAATAGATAGAGGAGGGATGAGGAGGTGGAAAGACAGTGAGCAGAATGGGCAAAGTCATGGTGGTATGATAGCGTGTATATTCAGGAACTAGAGATTAGTAGGTTGGTGCAAGGGGTAAGGAGGAGAGGGAGGACTGGGAAGATGGTCTGAGGCCAGATGGTACATGGTGAATGGTGTCTTAGGGCTGAACGTCTAAACATGTTGCTGAAGGAGGGTCTCTCTTTCTCTCTCCCTCCTCTCTCTCTCTCTCCTTTCCTCCCTCCCTTCCTTTCTTCCTATTTTCTTTCTTTCCTTTTTTTTTTTTTTTTGGTTAAAACTCAAAAAGGCCTTTAATGCTATTCTGATATTCCACCAAATTTCTTAGATATCAATTTTTCTATTATTTGCTTCTGTATATTCTAAGCAAATTTTCATGTGTTTCTATTATGAGGAAAATAATCAGATTTTTGTGTTAATGTGTGTTGCTTACACAGATGAACTTTAGCAGGGCCAAAACCTCATTCTAATGTATAATGGGCAGGCATATTGTAAGAGAAGATTATAAGAATAAAAATATATTTTGTATTGTACATTCCGATCTGTAATTATTTAAGAGAAAATAAAGTATAAATTCATTTATTTATATACCTAAGTTTTAATGCAGAGAATATTTTATTTATATTATAAAAATCCCAGGGGAGGAGCCAACAGAGTAATTTTAAAGTATCAAAGAGGAGTTTACATGGCGTAAATTATATTCAAGGAAAAGAAGTATTCGATTTTTGTAGCATGACTCTCCTTTACTTTACCATAAAAATTAAGGAAAACAATAAAAACACTGACAAGCTAGTGATTCTTTTTAATAATAGATGAGTGGTCTGTGTATATTACTGTGATTAATCAAATAGATATAATTTATTTGCATTTGTCAGACAAGGTGCTGGAATTTTTTTAGTAGATGTTACTGAAGATAGGAGCACAATGTAGCAGCAGCACTGTCTCCTTCCTTTTAATTGACAAATAACTACAGAGAGAACAGTCAGAAATTGGAAGAGAGTAGAAAAGGTAGATGAATTCTTCCTAGATGATGCAGGGACCATGTTAATGGAATTCTGGTCACATAGTCTAGAGCTCAGACTTCCCTTGGTTTAATCAGCTTGCTGAACATTACAGTTGAGTATAGCCATGTTGATTCAGGCCTCTACATACATAATTTATTTCCCCTAAATTAGGCCTGGTTTAGTTCCCATTGTTTGACACATTATATTGAAAGCTACAATGGTGAGAATAGGGTATTGGATCAGGTTTATGTGTGTGTGTGACTCTGTATATACTTAAAAAATTTATACATTTAGCTCCAGTGTTAAGGCATATCACTCTATCCCAGGCATTTGACGAATACAGAGCAATATTAGATGTTAAGCAGGATATTGACTTCCTCTATTTTGGCAATTATGTGGGCACCGCTTTGCTGAAAACAAGGCCCATCCACCCTTGCAGAATTGGTAAGTCACAAGGATACAGCACTTAACACCTTTCCTGGTTGTGAGCAAGGTCTGCAGTAATTCATCAAATCCTACAGTGAGGGATTCCACAGAAGCTGCTCATGACAAGCACAACAGAGACAAATATTTAAAACCCAAGGATTTTGGACACATTGTTTTCAATGCTTTTTTGAAAATTCTGGTAAAAAATACAATTTTTGTTTCTTTGATTTCCATCCATGGTTGAAAGAAAGAAATTCAAAAAAGGGTAAGGAGTTAGAGGTAAAAAAGTGGTAGACAAACATGAAACACACTCGTTTTTATGACATGTGATGCTTAGTTATTAGCAATTTCATAACCAGACTCAGAGTAGGACCAGATAAAAATGAGTGTAATTATATTGCCAGTAAAGTGGCCCAGAAAAATGAAATTTTTCTAATTCCACCCATGACTTTTTTACTATAGTTAAAATATAATTAATGAGAAAAAAAAATATTTCTTCAAAATTGCTTCATAACTGGTTTTAGAGTGGCAGTGTTCTTTAAGTGAAGCATTATATATATATAAAGCATCTGTCGATAACGTATGCATTTGGTCTTGTAGTCCTCGTTGCTCATTCCTGTCACTGTAAAAAGAGAACTTTGTTTTCTAGGGTCAGAAATTTCTGAGGTCATGTTATTTATAGTTCAGCATCATCAAAAAGCAATTCCTTGCTTATTTGGGATTCGAAGTCCAGCCAGATCTCCCTTGTGACTCATTCGGCATTCATCCGGGGATCTATGCTTGCCTGCCTGTGCGGTGTTCTCATGAATCCTTAATTCCTTTTGAACTCAGCGATGCCAGAGTCACTTTACATCAACCCGCCCACTCAGCTGAATTGCGCCAGCCTCTTTTGCACAAAGCATCACACTCCCATTGTAAGATTGATTGGGTGTTGAGCCACTGCCACAAAGACAAAAGAGGTCAGATTCAGCCCCTGCAGTTTGCTTTTAAGACCTGATGTCATCATCATCCTGACTTCCAGAGCTGATGCTGATAAAATTTTCTGGGAGCCACCTATATGTAACTTATGTCTTGTTGAACTAACTTTATTAGCACTTCATCAGTGATAATGTGATAATATATTAATGATGTGTTGCTCTTACCCTTTGTCTGCGAAGCAAAGGAGTTGAAACTAAAATGACATGCTGAGCCAGATCAGTCTGATGTGTAGCCAATTCTGTATCATGGCATCTTTCTCATTCCCTGACTGCTTTTCTCTCGGATCATAGGGCAGACATGGCTGGAGTGCTGGTAAGATGTCCAACACAAGGTGCTGCTCTAGGCTCTAGGAGTTTGCAGATCAGAAAACCAGCATGGCAACTCACAAGGGTCAGACATGCGCAAGTCAGAGAGCAAGCTCAAATTGAGTCCATATGTCCATCAAGTGAGCACATAACTAAAAATATGTGACCAAGCCTGGGGATCAGGTGTAAGACAGGGAGATGGACTCAGCATAGGTGCAAGGGCAGGGGTGGGGAACTGGATTCCAGTTGATTATGAAGAAGAGGGTGGTGTGATGGTTACCCAGAGTGCATGTATTAGGTTGACCTAGTTTAGAAGCACAAAGTTGGGGGTTGTAATATGCAAAATACTGGAGAGGTTGGAAACTTATTTGGATAGTATTGGATTATATGACTGAGCTCTTCCCAGTGGCTCTTTAGTACCTGGAGCTAGAGATAAGTCAGATGTGGTCCCTGCCTGTGTTCTCATCATCTGCACAAGGAGACAGGAATATAAATAAAAATATCATAACATTCACAGGATTGCTAGGGTGTAATCATCTCATTCTGCCAAGAAGGTAATAATAATGGCTGACATTTATTGAAAACTCACTGTATACCAGCAGGTACTATGTTAATTGCTTTTCCTATATTACACACTGTATATCACGAGGTACTATGTTAAGTGCTTTACCACATTTAATTCTTACAGCCATATGAAGCAGTGCTATTATTTCTACTTTATAGATTAAGCAACTGGAGGCTAAAAGAATTTAAACAGTAATCACCCAAGGTTGCACAGCTAATTAGTGGTGAAGTCTAACTCTGACTTACATATTGACCTCTACATCAGTTTGTTCTGACAGACACATTTTAAGATGGATGTTGGGAAATATAGAACTTGACAGTTGTGTTAAGAATGGTGTGGAGACTGGAGTCCATGATCTATGAGCAAGTATCTCCTCAACCCCTTCCAATGAGTCTGCTGAGACTGAACATAAAGGGCTGGACAGGGAGGTACATACTCTGGCCTCAGGTGCGAATGAGGAATGGGCTGAGGCAGACTGTTTCACTTGGTGTAGAAGGAAAAGAGATTTATCTGCAGATTTCCAAACTATTTACTTGGCTCTAAGTGCCAGGTTCCTCTGGCACCTCAGCAGAATGTTGGGTTAACTGATAGACCCTGGGAAGTTCTGCTAGTGAGTGGCAACTACAAAGATAAGAGCACCTAAGTAATGCTGAACTAGAAGAAGACATTTTATAGAACACCTTTTACATTTGAAGAGTTGTCATATGAAAGAGAAAAAATAAATTTGTCCCATGTGACTCTAATGAATGCAACTGAGACCAATGATTGGAAATGATAGGAGGCAGATTGCAACTCAGTAAATAATTATATATACATATATATATATATATATGTATATGTACACACACACACACATATATACACATATATATGTATATACACATATATATACATATATATGTATATATATTTGAGACAGAGCCTCACTCTGTCCCCCAGGCTGGAGTGCAGTGGTGCAATCTCAGCTCACTACAACCACTACCTCCGGGTTCAAGCAATTCTTCTGCCTCAGCCTCCCAAGTAGCTGGGAATACAGGTGTGTACCACCACGCTCAGCTAATGTTTTTGTATTTTTAGTAGATACCAGGTTTCACCATATTGGCCAGGCTGGTCTCAAACTCGTGACCTTGTGATCTGCCCACCTCAGCCTCCCAAAGTGCTGGATTTAGTAATGGCATGTGCCACTCTCCTGGTCGATAATTATTTTTTAGCAACTAACAAATACAGAAGCTGGCCTTGTGGTAGTGTCAGTTATTCACCACTAGAGGTATTCCTACAGAGACTGTGTCACTTTCTGTCGAGAGGGATAGTTTTCAAATTTTAGGATTCATAAGAATCATTTCTGGGCATGGCAGCCAGATTCTGATTTAGGTGGTCCTCATAGGCATCAGGAATCTCTGCTTTAATGAGCAAACTAGAGGATTCTGATCCAGGTGATAAATAATAATCTGCAGATTATAAAAGAGATATCTATTTTTAAAGGAGAAGTTAGATTTCATGATAAACTTTCTACCCAGCTCTATGTCCAGACCATGTTGATCTATTTCTTCCCAGAGTTCCTGTTTTTTTGTATAGTCTTTATCTCATAACTTAATGTTTTACTGTACTTTGTTTCCCTCTTCCAATCTTTTCCCTCATCCCACCAATATTTAAAGATAATTTTCCATGTGCCAAGCACCATTATAGGCACCGAGGAGACATTATAGAGCCAAGCAGACAAGGGGCCCTGCACTTGTGGAGCTGATAATCTAGTTAAGGGACATTTTTAAAACCCCAAATATATCAGTTATTTTATAAATATTTTCCTCCATACAACCAGGTACAAACTCTTTTGAGAAATACGCTCTCCTGTTTAGTATTTTATGCAATGTCTACAACAATGTTCTGCAATAACAGGCACCCAAAAGCATATTTTAAAGCAATGTTGAAACAGTAAAATAAGAATACACTTAGAGAAAAGCAGAAAAAATGTATATTTTCTGCTATAAATCAGACTAATCTCAGTGGTCTGAGGATTTCTTTGTGCTTTATGATGGAGAATTTTTGTAAGCCAAAGAACTGTTTTCTGCATCAATAGAATGTATCAAGAACAAGTGACACAAGCTTCTCAAGTTTTGCAGGTCACAGTGTTACAGCAGTAGCGAAAAACTAAAAGACATCCAGAATAAAGATGATGAGGGTTCTTGACACAATATGGTATAAGAGAGTGGCCAAAAATTTACTTTTTTTAAAGGCCTGGTTATTCAATATTTTGGGGCTGTACATACACACTCTTTCACAGCTGCTCAATTCTGCCATTGTAGTATAAAGGCAGTTCAGAAAATATGTAATTGAATGAATATGTTCTAATAAAACTTTATTTACAAAAACAGGTAAAAGGCTGGATGCAGCTCTCAGATCACAGTTTGCAGACTGCTGCTATAGAATAAATAGTTCAAAGAACTGAGGTGCTTAGCTGGGTGTATTAGTCCATTGTCACATCTCTATAAAGAAATACTTGAAACTGTAACTTATAAAGAAAAGAGGTTTAATTGGCTCATGGTTCTGCAGGTTCTGCAGCAGACATAGCAGCATCAGCTTCTGGGGAGGTCTCAGGGAACTTACAATCATGGCAGAAGGCAAGGAAGGAACCAGGCACTTCACATGGCTAGAGCAGAAGGAAGGGAGATGTGGAGAAGCGCCACACACTTTTAAACAACCAGATCTTAGGAGAACTCTATCATGAGAATAGCACCAAAGGGGGAAATAGACCCCCATGATCCAATCACCTCCTACCAGGCCCCACCTCCAACACTGGGGATTAAAATTTGACATGAGATTTGGGCGGGGACACAAATCCAAACCACAGCTCTTGGAGAAAACAGAAAGCGAACACCATTACTATTTTTAAATATTTAAATTACTCCTGAAGAAGAAGGATTTGATCTATACTAGATAAACAGAGGATTTATGTCTAAAGTTTTAATAAAATTCTCCAGGTGTTTATGAGTTTAATGAGTTTAGCATCACTGGAGATGTTCCAGCAAATATTGGATGCCCACTTCTTGAGACTGTTCCAGAGAAGGCAAGGGAGTCTGGTGAACAATTTGATTAAATGTCCTTTAAGGTCCTTTTCAACCATGAGATATTTTCATGAAGTTTAGTGAACAGAGCAGGGCCTAACATAGGCTGAGATTGACACAAAGACACAGGTAAATGAGACCCCAGCAATTTCATATGTTAAAATTTATTTGTGGTAAATGAATGAGTGAAAAGCAACCTCTACTAACTGTTAGGTACCCATATTAAATAAGCAGGTTAAAAATAGCCAGACTAAAAACAGTTAACATCAGTTAAATATCATTTCTATTTTCAGTGAGTTTGATTTATGGACTTTTAAGATTATATCTGCGTTAAGTAATTTGGTTATTCAAAAACTAAGTGGACGTCTGTCAATCAAGACTACATCCTCCCTTCTAGAATACAAAAGATTTAAATTTTTAAAATTTTTTTGGACTTCTTATAAAATTCCTTTGTGTGCCTTATTATGTTTTGCATTTATAAAGTTGCAAATGCTAAAACAGCATTAATTCATCCTCACAAATGGATGTACAGATCCATAAAATTAATAAACAATGATTTATTGGGAGCCTATTGCCCCATTGAAGAAACAGAACCAGACAGTGCCTGAAGGATGAGCATGACAAGGAGCTAAATGGTTTAAAATTTGTGGCTATCCTTAACATGCTACCCATGTGTGCCAATGAGGCAAATCTTCAGTCAGCTTGAGCCTGGTCTCCACCTCCCAGTGGAGGGTCAGAAGGGGTGAGTGATTCCAATCAATATCCAGTTGTTAGAGTAACAGCCATGTCGGTTCTGGATGGCTGACTGGGCGAAAACATGTTTGCTCTACTTAATGTGACAGTGTCTCGTCAAATTAACAGCCATGGTGGCAGGAACAAGCTTGCTTAATGGTTTAGAGTCAGTTCCACAGAGAATATATCATCAACATGCAACTGAGTGGATCCCCAAACCTCATTACTAGGGTTTATTTGTAGATAATAACTGAAGGTATGCTATGTACTTACAACAAGATTTGTTTGTTTTTTGGCAATTCAATTGTTGCCCTTTTAACTCCCCAAAACTCTGTATGATCATGCTTTGTCTGTATTTAAATACACTAAGTGAAGTCGAATATGTAAGCAGCTATGTTAAGATGTTTTAGCAAGATAGAATGATTATTTGAAATCACCAAGTATTAGATGTGCAGGACAGTGGAGGAAAGAAAATACTCCAGTGATTGCTTTAACCCTCCACTTCATGGTGAATATTTAAATGCACTTTTCCTCCCTAGGTGAGCTGTTGTTCCAAAGCCAGAATCATAAACTGTCTGCCAGATTTCTCTCACAGTTAAATTGCATTTGGCACATATAATGGTTTTTAAAAATTGAAATGCTTCCTATCACTTAAAAAAAAAAAGAAAATTTCACATGCAGTTCTAGGTGTCTTCTTTCAATGAAAAAATCAGAAGAGTCAGCAGCATGGGCCAGCTTTTATACAGGAAAGTCGTTGTCTGGAGCTATATGGTAGTCTATCTTCTCTAGATAGGCTGAGTGTTCTCTGTGGTTTCAACTGTGCCTGGTTTTTTCATGTATGTGACCTAACCAGCCCCTTGAAACATTGAAATTTTCCATATGTGATGAAAAGGTTAAGTCTTGATTGTCTAATCATACTCATAGATGAAAAATGCAATATTACCATGTACAGATATTGTTAAGACACTGTTTTCTTCTTTCTTCCTCTAGTCCTCCAGTCTTCCACCAGTGCCTCCCTGTGGCCTAAAACAACCAGAAGCCATATGAAATAGAAGTCTGAAAGATGCTAGTCCTTCACTGAAGGATACAAGAATGGCAATGAGATCTGAG